CTGCGCTGCCTCCAGGTGTCCCTGGGGCTCTCCAGGAACCTCCTTGGAAAGAGACTGAAGCAATCCCCCATGCTGCCTGCCTCACCTCTGAAGAGATGTTTCTTTCCAGCAGTGTCCTGTCTCCTCTCAGAGACACAGTTAGGTGTGAGAATCCCACTTCCTTGTCCAATCCTTAGGCAGGAGACCTGGACACTGTTGGGGAGGGACATCCTTTACCCATGCTACTGAGGGAAGGGAATCAGCTGAGTCAGTGGAGGCATCTGATCATGCATCTGTAGGGGGACTTCATCCCCCTCCCATGCCTGCCACAAACCCACAGGAGGTGGTGAGGTTCCTCTTGCTGCTTCAGTGATGGCATCTTTCAAAAATAGGCACTGTGCTCCTTTTCTATGGTCCCGTGGTCATTGATGGAGATGGAGACCAGGAGTTCCCACCAAACATCTGGTGACATTTGAGGGTCCAGATGTCATCCATGATAATGGAGCAGAACTGAGGGACTGGGAAACATCTGGGGGCATCATCCTGCAGCCTGGTGAGGATGCCAGCCTAAATGATGGTAGATGCCCACAGTTAGGACCTCACCACCTCTCCCTACTCACACTGTTCAGGGCCACCTACCAAGGTGTTCATCTGACTCAATACAGTTATGTGCCAGAGGGAGAGGGGAGCCTTTCTCTCTCTCCCCTCCTTTAGCTCTATTTACTGGCTGTTCATTGTAACAATCACTGTCTCGCCCATCCCCATGCAGCCTGACCTGCTTCAGGGCAGCTGCTCATTTGGTGGCCAAACCCAGGCCTGTAGTGTTGTGTCAGACAGCCGGGCTCCCCACCAAAACTGCATGGGGCTGGCAGGGACAGCACAGGACCTACAGGACAGCCATGTCCCCTCACAGCGAGTGTGTAACAGACACCCATGGCGGCTTCTCAGATTCATTGGGTTCTTGTGTGAACGTGGCTGATTCCCACCCCTGCAGGGAGGCCACCTCTGTCCCATCTCTATCCAGTAGATGCAAGGCACTGCATGAATAAGCAGCCCATTGCACTGGGATCTCCACTTCTGAACCTCCATTCTCAGCTTCTTTGGGTTCTCCTCTCCTCCATCCTTTACTCACCCTCCCGATGATGCAGTCTTCAGAGTCCAATGAGTTCAGAGTGTGCCTGGATCACAGGATGTCCACACCCAAGGACATGTTCAGCAACTCCTTGTCCTTCCATGAGATAGTGCCTGTCTTCACCAAAGGCCCCCCAGGGCTGCAGAGACACCCCAGATAGCAATGCCCTCTCCTGCCAGGGCAGCACAGCCCAGCCCTCTTTCTCTCTCACCTTGAGCACAGCAGCCTCTCTTTGGGGGCACCCCATGTCTTTCTTACAATTCCCTCTTCCATCCCCTTCAGCATATCTCTGCCATGAAGCAAAGCTCTTGCCTATACAGGCTGTTGGGTGCTTGATATCACTGTTCACCATGACAAGGCTGAGCTGGGCCCTGGAGCCACAGCTCAGGGGCTGCAGCCCAGATGTCCAACACTGTGCTTGGATTGGGAAAAGGCAGGAGGAGCTGGACCCCCGTGGTCTGTCACAAGCTGTGATGTTGATGGAATAACTTTGGAGGAGCAGTGGGACACCTCACAGGGCTTGCGGGCTGCAATGGCTGGATAAAGGCTCTTCACTGGAGTGTCAGCCAGGGCTGCCACCTAGTTTCATATTCTAAACCAGTTCTTCTTTATTTGTCAGCACATAGTCCAGTAGCACTCCTCTCCTTGTAGGCTCCTCCTCCATCACCTGCATCAAAAAGTTATCATTGATGTTCTGCAGAAACCTCCTGGACTGTGTGAATCATGCTGTCTGGCGCCTCCAGCAGATATCAGGGTAGTTCAAGTCCCCCATGAGAACCAGGGCCTGTGATTGTGAGGTTACTTTCAGCTGTCTGTAGAAGGTCTCATCTGCTTCCTCTTCCTAGTCAGGTGGCCTGTAGTAAACACCAACCACAGTGTCGCTCATATTGCCCCATCCCTTAATTTTTGCCCATAAGCTCTCGACTTGTCCTTCATCCACCCACAGACAGAGCTCTATACATTCCAGATGCTGACTCACTTAGAGAGCAATTCACCTGCTTCACCTCCTTGGCCTGTTTAAAATTATATATGACAAACATTAATTGTGACACCTAAACTAAACACTTTATCAAATAATTGGACTCTTACCACTGATCTGCCATATGCCACATATTTATGACATAGAGGCAAGAAGCAACCGTACTACCTCTCTATGAGCTGGCAAAGTGGGTCGACTGTAGTCACAGGGTGGACTGTGATAGATGCGTTCGACCCCTTGACCAGAGAGGTGGTGGTTTGGTGCAGGCTTCAGAAGAGGTAAAAGCCTGAGCTGTAGCCGGGCCGTGAACTCCTGCTGTTTCAATCTGTTCTCTGAAAACCCACAAAAGAGCAGAGTGACACTGTGATCATCGATGCATATGAGCTTGGAACACCAATCACGTGATTGACACATGAACAGCAGATGGATTTTCCAAGACTCATTTACCGAGGAACAAAGTAAGTTGTGGGTACAAGGAGCCTCATGCCTGCATTTTCTATCACATGTCATTTGACTACGAGCCGAGCGCTTTATCCCATAAACATGACAGCCTGAGTGAGCCTTCTCTGAACCCTCCCTGCTAGGCAGCATGGCTGCATGGTGGTGATCACCCCTGGAGTTGGGACACCTCTCAAGGTTGCTCCTCCAGGCAGGGAGATGTTCTACCAAGGACAGATCTT